CGCTTCGGAGCTTCTTGGCCCAGACTCCAGCGCCGCGAGCCGGGCTGGAGCAGCGGCCGCGTTCCGGCGTGATCCCTGGGAGCTGCCAGCAGGTGTTGCTCAAGGTACAGTAGCAGGCCGAGCAGCGGGGACCGCAGGGCCGGGCGTGGGGACGCTGCGGGGGGAGGGGGCCGGAAGTGAAAGAGAAACCAAACCGAGGCAGGAAAAGGAGATGCTTGTCAGGAGTTGGGCTGACCCGCTCACCCCCGGGCCTTTGAGTTCGGCAGGCAAGAGCTCATTCCCAGTCCACGAGAGGCGACCCAAGTTGTTTTAACCTGCCTGTGTCCTGTAGCCACCCCCCCGCCCCCGCCCCCACCTTAATTTCCACTGAGTGAGGAGGCATTTCCAGCGTGGCTCAGCTCTAAGGCTGGGGATTCAGGTAGAGGATGACATCACTGCGGGTGGGCTGACCCGGTAAGTGGGCACCTCAGTGGCATCCCGGGGGGGCCAACTCGATCTGAGTCACACACACATGTAGAAGAAGGTCGCTCCTCTAGAAGGGGCTCTGCACATTTCTGGGACACAAATGCGGACAGAAAGCCACCAAGGCATCTCCAAAAGAGTATCACCTGCGATTTTCTGAGCACGCCCTTGACCCTGCAGTTGAGTATTATGGGTCCCACCTGATAGGCCCAGACACTGAGGTCCGAGGTTATGTGGTTAGCAAACCATGGAACCAGGGTCTGTCTGATCTGGGTTTGTTTTGTGCCCCCAAAGTCATAAACACGATGGTATTTCCAGGACACCAGGGTTCATGCCTGGGGGTGGGGGTGGGGGGACAAGGGGGTTTCAGAGGCCCCGCGCCTACCAAGGCTGTCCAGGAATGCTCATCCAAAAGGCTGGCGAAGTTCCTTTCTTCCATAGAGGTTGAGTCCCTCCCTCTGATTCCAAACTGATGGGCAGGGACTTTTGGAGTTAACCAGCACCGATCCTGTCTCTATCTTTCCTTCCCAGACTCCCTCGGTTCCTCTACAACCTAATGATTTAATTTCTTACTTTATTTCTGCGTATGCAGTTCTTAGACTACCCCCCCCCACCCCAATGCACAGCTCACCATCCACACTCTCTCTCCGTGCTTAGCCAAGGCAGACCCTCCCACACAACAAACTTCTGGTGTCCTAAAGGAACCTTCTCCAACTACACATCAGGAGGCCAGAGCCTCTATATTTTGCTTGTGGGCACAGTGAAAAGTTTATTTTATGCATGTTAAATCCTGCATACAAAACAACATATCTGGTCATATGGCTTTCATTAGCTCCCAATTTTGCACATTTTATCCAACTTGTCATGAGTCCCCAGCTCATGCTTCAGATTTGCTCCTTCAAACAACCCTTCCCCACTGTGCTGGTCTGAAGATTTCTCCCAACTGTGTTATTTCTCAGCCTTGCTAGCAACCCTCTCCCCCAACAGAAACTCTCACCATCTTAACTCCTATTCCAAGGAACGTTTGTTTCTTTTCATTAATCTCATGTTATATTCGTAACAACTTAGAAATCACAGGACTTGCAGTTCTGATAAAGAAGAATGATGTGCGAGCTTGCTTTCTTTCTCTGTTAGTTGGATTGGGATTCTTAAAGACTTGGGAAAGATAGGTACAAAGTTCACTAGCAGAGAATGAGTATTTTCCAAGTTCTTGGTGATATGCGATTCATGAAGCAGACATTCAATTTCAAGATGTAAAATCATAGTGTAAGTCAGGGGAGGGCAGACCATTCTCATATAGGTATACATATTTTCCCATTTTTCTCCCCTCCATGAAGGATCTTATTTTAAAAAGTAAAATCAGAATCCCTATAAAGAGCACTGCAAATGTTCTTCCCTGGAAGAAACAATAAAATACTTTGTAAATAGAGGCAACTTCATGAAGTAACAGATGTTTTATGTGAAGACATAAAACTGAACCTGAATATAATGAGAAGTGTGTGCTCGAGCAGTAAAAGTTGGAAGCTGGACACTCAGGGAGCTCTAGCTGTTCAATGTCAGTGTTTTTCTAAAAGGTAGTCTAGTCGGTCAGAGGTTTCCCTGGCTCTCGGTGATCACCAAGTAGTGTCCCAGCAGCCAAGAAAGGCTTTCCATTAGATAATGAATTATGAAATATGTCTCACACTGGAAAAACCAGTCATCTGCTGATGTCATGCTGATTCTAACCAATCCCAAACAAAGTCCCAGCCCTCCTCTGTTTGAGTGGTACCAATGTGTGAGTGTGCAAAGAAGTAGTACAGTATAAAACTTCAGAGTGCCAAAACCATGAAGAGGAACTCCTCAGACAGCTCTTACCACATGATCCAAGAGTCTGCTGGTGGAAGAGAAAGGACCGGAAAGGTAATGCTTTTTAACTCTTACTTAGGAGGTCTTGACACATGCGGAGTTCGAAAGGTTTACTTACTGCTTTTCCAGGCACGTTGTTGATTTGTACCTTTGATATGATCCAGGCAGCTTAATACAGCTTTTAATAGTAGAACATGCAAATAGACGGCGTGTGTATTCAACGCACTCAGCACTTATAGACAAGTACATATGCCACAGAGAAAGCTGTTTTTAAGAGTTCCACTCACCACCAGTAAATTCAGGGAACACACACACACACACACACACACAGAGCGGATCCAAATATTGATAAGCTGCCCTTATCTCTGTGCGGCTCTTAGGACCCTCTGAGTTGTTTGGAGTCATTAGACCTAGAGTTTTATTTCAGACTCTCTTGTAAAATTTAATTGGGCTACAAAATGCTTTGGGTGCTGTACATGTGACGCCAAATACGGTAGGCTATGTTTTGTATTTCAAAGATGTTTGATTAATGGGTTATAACGCAGCTGCCCCCTCCCCATTCTCTCTCACCGTTACCCCTACTTTAAAAAAAAAAAAATAGACTCTTTAAGGAATGTCGACCAGGTCTTAAGAAGAAGAGCAGAGTAATTGATGTTCCTGCAGAAGAAATCCCAAACTGTGATACATGGCTTGAGAAACAGAGAAAGTCTTGCAAGTAATTGTTTTGGAAAAGGGGGACAGGGTGTCAGATTCAGAAAAGCATTGTTATCTCTGCAAACTGGAATTTTACCTTAATGTCACAGTTTCCTCACCCTCCTCCTCTTGCCCTCAGATCTTAGGCTTGTAGTAATGATATTTATTAAGTTTTTCCACCCAGAGCGCATTGCTTAACTACAAAACTCTGAACACACTAGGTGTCAGATATAAGCTGACTATATCTACAGAAACTGAGGGCTTATGTGTGGGAAAGAAACCGAGAGAGAAGGAAAGCTTTAACAGATGGACTTCTTAAAGATACTTCTGCATGATAAAAGCAATAAGACAGAAAATGAAAAAAGGGTGGTGGGGGGGGAGAATAAAAAAAACTCAGAGAGGCATTGTTTAAAAATTCACATTTTTCTTTTTCTGTGAACGCTGAAATCCATGATGATTTCATCTGTGCTGTTCCTTTGGGGGGATAAAGGAGCCATCAAGGGGCCAGTCCAGGAACACGTTGGGCCAGGACAGGGTAGGAGGCAGGCTGAAAAAGTCTCACAGGGCAGAGGAAATCATTGGCCAACATATTTTGGAGAGTCTTTTCCCCTGGGACCAGTTATCCAAGTCCTAGGAGCACATTGTTTGTAGGAAATAATGTGGGAAAGGCCAAATGAACTTTGCATTTTATCTGTTAAGTCTGGACTGGAGGTGGTGGGCTGTAGTGTGTGTGTGTGTGTGTGTGTGTGTGTGTGTGTGTGCAGGGCAGAAGGGGGCGACGGCGGTTAGGGAGAGGGGAGAGAGTTTCAGGTGACAGGAGTAGGTAGAATATTCCCCGTGCATCCTTCAGTGCCTGGCTGCGTTTTGCAGTTGGGGAAAGTAGAGTGTCTGAGATGACCCCAAACAGCAATTCTACTCCGCTCCCCTCAGATCCCCCACCGGAGCGGGTGACCCTGAGCATTTAAATATGAATGAATGGGAAGCCGGCAACCTCCAGGACTCCCTCTCGCCGGCTGGCTGACCCAGCGGCTCCCTGGCCCCTCTGCCCCTGACCCGCACTACCTGCCCGCCCACCTCCAGGAACCCCTGGCCCCGCCTCAGGAGGCAGGGGCCGGGGTGCGGGGGGGGGGGGGTGTCTTTTAGAGCTGCGGGGTGGGGGGCCCTGGGGGCAGATCGTTTCAACCTAGTCATCCCAGGAGATTGGGACAGTGCCTTCCAGTGGGGTTTTCTTTCCCCTCCAAAAGAGGAAGAAGGTGAAGCAAGGGGACTGGGCAGAGGAAGAAAAAGAAAGGGGGGAGGGAAGTGGAACAAAATTAGGAGGATTTCTTTCAGAAGGGAAAGGAGAACTCCCGAGAATGGTGATATCTGAAGAGAGGTGTGTGTGAGGGAACAGTGAGCAGAAGGAAAGCCGCCTGTCAGAAAACGGGCTGTCCCTCCCCTTCCTAATCACAGCCTCTACTCACAAACTCCCTCCCTCGCCCATTCACGCACTCACTTAGGACCAATCGTTCTCTCTCTCCTCTCTCTCTCTCTCCTTCTCTCTCTCTCTCCCTCCCTCTCCCTCTCTCTCTCTCCCCCTCTTTCTCCCTCTCCCTGTCTCTCTCTCCCTGTCTCTCCCTCCCTCTCTCCCTCCCTCCCTCTCTCCCTCTCCCCCCTTCTCTCCTCTCTCTCCCATTCTCCCTGTCTCTCTCCCTCCCATCCTCTCTCTGTCTCTGTCTGTCCCCCCCCACCCTGTCTCTCCCTCCCTCCCTCCCTCCCTCTCTCCCTCCCTCCCTCCCTCCCTCCTTCTCTCTTACTCGGAGACAGTCAGAACTCTCCTCCCTGACAGCCACAAACCTACAGCACTGACTGCCTTCCGAGAGGGAACCTGCAAACAAAACTTCACAGAAAACTTTTTGTTCTTGTTCCAGAGAATTTGCTGAAGAGGAGAAGGGGAAAAAAAAAAATAAAATAAAATAAAAAGAAAGAAAGAAAGAAAAAAACAACACAACACAACAACAACAACAACAACAACAAAACCTGTGCGTGAGGGGGGAGGAAAAGCAGGGCCTTTTAAAAAGGCAATCACAACAACTTTTTCTGCCAGGATGCCCTTGCTTTGGCTGCGAGGATTTCTGCTGGCGAGTTGCTGGATTATAGTGAAGAGCTCCCCCACCCCGGGATCCGAGGGGCACGGCGCGGCCCCCGACTGCCCGTCCTGCGCGCTGGCCGCCCTCCCAAAGGACGTGCCCAACTCTCAGCCGGAGATGGTGGAGGCCGTCAAGAAGCACATTCTGAACATGCTGCACTTGAAGAAGAGACCCGAAGTCACCCAGCCGGTGCCCAAGGCGGCGCTTCTGAACGCCATCCGAAAGCTCCATGTGGGCAAAGTGGGGGAGAACGGGTACGTGGAGATAGAGGATGACATCGGCAGGAGGGCAGAAATGAATGAACTCATGGAGCAGACCTCGGAGATCATCACGTTCGCGGAATCAGGTCGGTGCGGGCGTTCGCGGGTGGGGGCGGCGCGCCCCGGGCCGGCCGGCCGGGGAGGAACTTGCGCCCGCGGCGGCGGCGGGGCGCCCGGGGGAGGTCACTCGGCGGCGGGCGCCGGCGGCGGCGGCGGCCGGAGGGGAGGCGGGGGAGCGGGCTGCGCCCACACGGGATTCTAGCCCGAGCCCCGGCCGCGGGCGGCTCGCCCGCACTTGCGGAACTCGGCCGATCGCCCCGAGCAAGCTGCGAGGGCCGGGCTGGAGCCGGACGCCCGCGGTGCCCGAGGCTCGCTCGCCCTGCCTCGGGAACCGGCTCCGAGCAGCCCCGAGGGAGAGCCCGGGCGTCTGCGGGTGCGGGGGGGAGGGGGTCCAGGAGGCCCCCGGACCGCATCCAAAGTTTCGGGGGGGGGGGGGCGTGCGCGGAGTGCGGGGTCGCGGCGGAACGGCACAGATGAAGTCATTGTCTTCAAGCAAACCTTCCCTTTAAAAGTCCAGCCAGGGGCCACACGGGGAAAGCAGGGCATGCTTATTATGAGTGACAGCCCCTTCTCCCTTCAGAAAGTCCGTCTTCCGGGAGCACAGGCATCACCTTCCAGGCAGGAAAGAGGGACTTTGGGGGACAGCTGACACTAAACCGGCAGTCACTTTTGGAACACTGACTTTTGCTCTCTCAGCAACCGCCGCCGCCACCACCACCAAAAGAGAGTTTTGTTCTCTGCAAAGTTACTAAGAGCTCTCTGCCAAGGAATGCAACCTTGACAAAGTGCTCTCAGATACTACGCTGAACTCTCACTCAGTCCTTAAGAGGAAGAACTTTAATAGGTTCCGATCATTGGCTCCGGACCACAGGAACCTGTTGCTGAGTAGACAGATACCTGTCAGAAGCGTGGCCACAGACGTGGAGGCAGGTTATTTGTACAGTTATGGGACGCAGACCCTTAGCACGCGGCAAGCCCATGCATGCCCGGCACACAGATGTGTTCATACCCTGTTACTTTCACGGTAATGCCAGCCTAAAGAATCATATCCCTTGCCAAACCCATTTGAAAGGAATGCCATTGTTTTGTTTGGTGGAGCATATGGCCAGTAAAGTACGTGCAGGGACTCCCAGCATTTCTGTTTAAAAGTTTGCCGCAGCAGTATAAACAATTAAGGCAACACTCAGAATTTCCAATCCTGAAAACCTGTTGACTCAGATGTTCTGTTTTCAAGAAAACCGTGCCAGACCTGGGCATCCTTTTGGGGAGCAGATAGCCTGCTTGGCTTCCTGGCTTCCCTGGTGAGAGAAGCCCTGCTGTCCTACAAGCTTCCTGGCAGGACAGTCTCTCTCTCTCTTACCAGAAGCTTCTCTTCAAAGAAGGGCTCTCTTTCTCTAAAGCTCTTTCTGGACGCAGGCCCCAAAGGACATGATCCTTAGGACTTTATCTGTTGAAGCTTATTGAGGAGACCAAGTCAGGTTGACGTTGCCACCTTGCCACTCACCTTTCCTGATGGCAGGGGAGGGAAGAAAGGGCTTTACTGACATTGAGTTCCATGGAGGGGAACGGATTCCAGTAGTCTAGAGGTCTGTCTGCTCCCTGTGCTGATACAAAGGGACCCTGTATAGGTTTTTATATACCAGTTACTACACACGATGGCTTGAATTTCAGGCCCTACTCCATTGGCCTTACCCATGTCAGATGACTAAGTATACCTATTCCCTGGGACCACTATTAACATACACCTGATGCTCGAGACAGCCTTGCTTCCTAACCTAGCTGACTTGTCTAGCAAATCCCGCTCTTGGCATTGAGAGGTTCTGCAGTGAAAGAATTTGACCTTTTACATTCTTTCTTACTTATGGCCTTCATCTCAGAGGCCGTCTTTTTCTCATTTATAGGAAATCTTGCCCTTTTTTTCCTTTTTCTTTCCTGTTAGGTGTTTAGTTTAAAAGAAATTGAGTTACTTTTTAAAAAGGTGATTCATTTGACTCACGCATAGACTCCAGTTTAAGGTTTATAATGGAAAACTTCTCCTCACTGAGTTTACAACTCGACTTTGGGTGAGCTGCTGGAGTCCCAGAGAAGGTTTACGATACACTTACTTATTTTTCTCATCTGAGAAGTTTCGCACATCAACTTCAGGTTGATTTACTAGGATTTCGTGGAATTAATGATTGCTATCTGGGCAATTGATTCTCCAAGAGGAGTGCCAGATGAGTATTTTGTTGCTGATTTTGCCAACCAGTAAAAGAGTTTTATCATCTGACTATACAAAAATGTCTTGCTGCTTTTGGAATAACTCAACCTTAATGATATTCAAACTATGTCAAATGTTAGAACTTGGAGAATAGCAGACGGTATTCATTTTTCTTTCCTCCACAAACTCTTTTGTACAGCGTGGAAGGCTGTGAGTCACTGTCATCGAGACCCGGGCCACAGATGCATACCCATAGATGTGTCTTTCAAACTTAAGATTCCCCAGTTGGGGGGTTTCATGTCTAATTTTTGCCTCAACCCCTCTTGATGGTTGACTAAAGCCCATGATGTGGCCCAGCAGTTTAGGGACCACCAAAAACTCAAGTGCCTAGAACTCTTGGAACTGAGTTTGTCCCATTTGGGCTCATGTGGAAGGTGCCCCATCTTTGTAAAGTTGATACGAGTTGTTACTAACTGAGGGGTGAGGAATTGTGCCCTGACCCCCTGAAATTTCTCCCAACAGATCAAAATTATTTTTTTGTAACACATGTCACCCAAGACTGCTCACCAAGATGACTGCATTCTTGGGACAGCTGGCACAGAATGCTCTGTGTCTACCTGAAGACCTTAAAGGAGAAGAAGGGATGGGTAGGGTCAAGTGCGCTCTCTGTGTAATTGTCAGCCAGGCTGAAATCGGTGGGCTTCTTGATGGCTCTATCTTACTTTATCTTCTTGTGATCTGTGGCAATATCTGGTCAGTGTACAGTAACAGCATATTACTGAGTCTCCATATGCTGCCAGATTTATATGTTGATTATGGTAATCAACATAGCAATTGACAGCACTTGTTGAAGAACAGTTAGGGACAGAAAGACCAACGAAGCCCCAGGAAATGCTCAATGCTCTCTAAGCCCAGGTGTTGTTGAAAGCAACACATAAATCTCCCTCTCTTGGAGGATTCCCGTTGAATTAGAAATATGCACTTGGCAAACGGGGGTCTAAGAAGGCTGGCTTGGGTGACTGTTTCTCCCCAGCCCAAGAAAGTCATCTCAAGCCGGAGCTGACTCATACGGATTCCATGCCAGCTTAAGGAAATTTCCTGCAAGTTACCCCTCACTGAAGGGTGCTTTTAGGGGTTACACACTTTCTTCTCTCAATAATGCAAAGCGATCGGCCACAAGAGGGCGCATTCCAAAGACTTTTGCTCCTCAGCGGTTAATCTAGGGAAAGGCATTTTCGGCTCCTGGAAGCCCCATTCTGTAGCGCCCAAATCTTGGTACTTACCGGTTGCCCCCTGCTTCCTCTCATCCTCCAGAAAACGTGAGGATTTTATGGGATGGGAGAAACATGGCTACCTGTGACCCAGTAAATGAGACGGAAGAAAGGAAGTGGGGATTCTAGTGATACATGGGAGCATTCCGGAGCTCTGTGGAAGACAGAGGAATGATCCATTTCAGAAGCAAACAAAGCAGAGCGTGGAGAAGTGTGACCATGAATCATCAGCAGCGCTGTTCTGCTCACACATCTCTCCCTAAGACGGCTGGCTGCCTGGCTTTGACCAAAATGCCTTCAACCTCCCCTCATTTTGTGGCCTGGTTTGCCTGTCTTATCAACCCTTTTCACCAGCAACAAATGACAAGTGACTTCCAACAGGGAGGAAAGGGCTGTTTGCTGTGAGAATCTGGGTACAGCTTCGGAGGATACGTTTGTTTCTAAACTGACTGGGGAGCCAAATGGGGGAGAAGAGACAAGAAGCGAGATGCCTCGTGGTTTGGGCCTGTGACGTAGTTGGGTCGGAGTCAGCGTGGGGGAGCCCCTCAGAGGATAGAAAGTCAGCTTTCATATATGGAGAACTGGGAGTCATACCTTCTCAGGCACTTTTAATGAAAACATGTATTTGTCTTGGCCCCTTTTGCTAACCTGTACTGGAGCGTGAGCTGTAGATCAGAATTCTTCATACTCCAACGGTTCCTGGACCCAAAACCAAAAGTGCAAAAGTTCTCGGGAACTTTGGAAGAAGTCGCTGAAATTTCTGTAGGTTGAATCTTAAGAATTTTTTCTGCTTCTTTTAGGAACCTAAAACCCCTTTCTCTCTACATCTCTCTCTCTCTCTCTCTCTATTTCATCACCACTGAAATGGAAGAGGCCCGAATGTCGTCTGGCATTTACAATTCAATAGCAGATCAGAAGAAAAAAAAAATAGGAAGGCTAACAAAACCAATCCAGATAATTTATGACCAAACTTGTAGTTCTGCTCCAAGGCAAAACCCTTGGCTACAGGTTAAGGGAGGCATCACCTCTAAGACCTCACTTGCTGCCTTCTGCAGAAACCCCTGGAAACAGTCCAAATGCAAAGTTAGTGACTCAGAGAACACGCATGCGCACCTGGTTGCCCCGTGTGCTCCCACCAGTGACTGCACCATCTACGCACAGCGAAATCTGGGTCCAGAATGCAAAATTAAAGTAACAGCTGCATTTCACAACAAGGCTTTTCCCCCATCTCGAGTTAAAATCCTCCATAAACAACAAGATTTTCCACATTCACATTAGAGATGGAATTATTAGCCATATGTACAAGGGCAGGATGCTTTAAGCAGGAACCCGGTGAGGAAAACAAAACGGAACACAAACCAAATACTCTGTGTATTTGTGTGTGTGTGTGTGTGTGTGTGTGTGCGTGTGCGTGTGCTTGTGTGTGTGTTTCTTATTTCATTGGAAATGTTCATATGCCCACAGATCTGAGGTGAGGGCTTGAGGAAGAGCAGAATTTTAAATCCTGGTGTGGGGGATGGGAACAACCAGGGGCTTGGTTGCTTAACCCTTGGCAGGCCTGCTTTCGTGCTTGAGTTCTTAAAAATATCTGAAAAATTCTGAGAGCAAAGGAAAAAAGGTGCTTTGGGGATTCTTCCTTGCAGCTTCTGGTCTTTCATCTGTTGCAACCCCTTGCCCAGCAGCATTTCAAATGTCTTCCCTATAAGGTGCCATCTTTATACCTCCTACTCATTCTTATGCACCTTTCTCTCTCCCCTTGGTTTTGTGTCCACCGGGCTCATAGAGGTTTAAGTGATGAAATATTATCACCCACATGGGTTTGCGTGGGACTTTCTTAGTGAATTACTCAGGCAGAGCAGGCTGTGATACAAGACTTGCTCACGAGCCTCGGGAGGGAAAAAATAGCACAGAGGATGGAAAGAATATTACCAGAGAGTAGGTAATGAAAGGTTAGCAAAGCCAACAGCTATATCTAGGTAGCTAGGTAATAATGCAGGAACCCAGTGCACACCTGTACCAACTAATCTGTACCTGCTCACAAAGCATTGTGGGAAGGCTTCCATTTCAGGATTTGATGCAGGAGATCGTTAAGTCAAACCTGAAACTGATTAGTAATTGATCCTAAACACCTCAGCCTCAGGCAACCTCCTTCCATTTTTCAAATTGCTATGCCTAGAGATTTGAGGACTGGAGCATTCTCAAAGCACCACCACAGTCTAACACTCTCTCTTAGGTCAGATACAGATAAAGGGAATAGAATCAAGTGACAAGTTCTATTTTTCATACCTAAGAAATTTGAGGGTTGTAATATCTTTCTGAAACCTACAGCCCTGATAATTATAAATCATCTCAGCTTCTAGCTGTCTCATTCTCTCCACCCCCTTCTGCAATGAAAGCTAAATGTAAAAGAGAAAAAAAAAACAAAACACTGCACTGTTTAATAAGTCAAATACAATAGAACTTTTAAAATGTACCTGCATGTAAGGTAGACATTAGGAAGACTTGCATCTCTCTCTTCCCCCTGTTCTCCTGAGCATTATGGCAACAGCATTTTCATGAAATTGGATCTGTTTTATTTTTTTTCCCTGATAAAATATCATGCAATATACAAATAGCAGTTCCAGAAATGGACACCAGGAGAAGGAGGCGACAGGCATGTCAATTAGTAGGGGGAAAATCCAAATGTCAGAAATATGGGGGAGAGATTCAGCAAGCAGGCAATAGATGTGAATACAGGAACAGTCTTTTCAAGCTCAGATAATTAAACCAATGCGTAAATCAGCCCTGTGCTTCTCCACACACGCGGGCGATGCCACACAGTTAATTATTAGCCAGGACCAGGTTGAAAGTCATTTTATGATGCCTCCCTGATCCTAATATAACAGCACCTGACAGATTGAGCCCCCTCTAATGAGCACTCTCTTTGTACAATCCTCTCTCAGGAACACTAAATCATTTGCTTCCGAGTACAGCTGCCTGTGAAGAAGGGGTGGGGCTAGCTCATGCCTTAGAAACCTGCCCTGGTGGAATGAGGGGCTGTCCTGTGGGCTGTTCCTGGAAGCCAGGGACCTCAGCCTCCCTGGCCCCTACAAAAGCAATCTGCATGTACTCTAGCTCCTTGGATCAAGTGAGCCAATTAGCCCACCCTGGCCCCCGCCCCACCCCCAGCCTCTGTAGACATTTTGGACTCGCTTCGTAGAAAGGCTGCCGTGGGCTGGTCCGCACTGCCATCGGGATCCTCTCTCTACTGGAGGAAGGACCATCTACCTTCTCCCAGCCCCTCCTGCCAAGCCCAGGTAAAAGCAGAGAGGAGCTTGTGGGAATGAGTTACCTGAAACCCAGAGAGCTTTCCTATCCCAAGAACGAATCAGTCTCCAGTTTCACACTCTTTCCTAGAAAAACAAAACACAGCCTCGTGCCCTCTGGCTTCTCTAATTTAGCAGCTACTATCTCTCTGTCTTTACAGTGGCACCCCGCACAGTGTAAGGTTTCAGAACAGCAGTAGCTTGTTACTATTCTCTGCTGGACGCAGAGGGAGGTTCCTGCACCCCCATCCAGGGGCGGCTGTCCGGGCTTGGGGAGCTTCCAGAAAGGACCCTACCCCTTCAGATCTGCTGCTGAATGTCTTTTTAAATTTAAATCATTAAGCTCTCCCTCCTGGAATCTTCTCTTTTTTCTTCCCTCCCCCCACCCCCCCCAAAAGCCAAACAGCATCAGAAAACCCACCAGCTTTTAGCAAAGAGGAATACTGTCTTCATGTCTTGAAAAGAAATCACGTTCCCTAAAAAATGACAGTCTCCCTTCCTTCTAACTGCTCTCTACTCTGGTGATCTAATCGTGAACCTAGCTTTATCATTAATTTTAACCCCTGCCAGAGATCCAAGGCTGGAGGAGAGGGACCTCCCCCAGCCCCTCCACCTGGCCACCTCCCACCACCAGCACCACAATTGGAGGCCAATGTGCTAGCGACTTTATACCAAGATGCCAGAGAATCTTTTGTATACACATGTAGCCTTTCCTGGCCCTGGCCTCAGTGAATTTACCACTATCAGAATCACAGCGTGCAGAGTGTGTTAAATTAAGAACAGAATCTACAGTGCGCAATGCACAGAAAAGCCTGCCTTCTGATGCAGAGAGAACTTGAAACTGTGCCGAAAATTTATAGTACCGTAAACATCTCAGGGCTGAGAGTGATAAGTATGGCTGGATTTCCGTTAGCTATAGAAACCCAGGCAGAGAGACCCTCCCAGGGAGTTGCGAGTTCTAAGATGACCTTCCCCAACATTGTTCTCAGATTTGTGTCCGGGATGCGTGTACGCCGGACAGTTGTCAGCAGGTACCCACAGGAGGCAGTCGGGCAAAGAGGGCATATTTCATAGACCAGCGAGCGGTAGAAGTGCGACTGGGGGAAGCTGTTTCCTCGATTGGAGCGTTCCAGTCTGGACACCTGTTTCTCGCAGTAAACGTTGCCACTTGTATAGACACACAGGTGCTTATTGAAAGAGAAGGGAATGGTTTAAGTTAGGCAGGAACTGCATGGTCTCTGAATCCAACTGCCTTGCCAGTGTGGGGATTTCCTTTCTGTTAGTAGCAGTTGCTGTAATTGGGGCTCATTAAGCTGCATTCAGAAGGGAAGGAGGCAAAAACGGGGGATGCAGCAGTGGGAGGTGGATCTCTTAATCTAACATGACTGGATGCTGAGGACGCGATTGCCTCGTTCCTGGTAAACTCTGGGCCGTGACAGTGAATGAGATAGATAGGATCTCAGACCAGGGGCATTCTAAATCAGACTGGCAGGGGGGTCAGGGCGGTCAGGGACTGAACCCTTATCAAGGGCAGCCACTGAAGGTGATGTGTTGGGAACAGGAGTGTTCGAGGCAGGGGCCACTTGTCTGGAGGTGAGATAGTGTACAACTGACCTTGAACAAACACCGTGTGGCTGCACCACAGAGGATGGGGCACTAGGAGAGAGCTGGCGGTGAAGGTGAAGCAGTCAAGGTCATGCCCAGAATCCCGGATAGTTTCTGTTTTATACCTGCTTCACGGAGCAATGATTGGAAAGGGGCCTGGCTCTATGCGGGAGAACCAAATGCAAGAAAAACCTGCTGCAGGGACCCGGGAAAGAAAGAATGGAGGGGTGGGGCAGGTCATGGCCAAGGTGGAGGTTAGCTCCATTGGCACTGGCTCCACTTACTTACATGGGGGTTGCCTGTGTATTTCTGTGGGAGTAGCATCACTTTGACAGCTTGCTAGAGCTCACAGTGGGTTTTCTTTCTTTTTAAAATTTTATTATTCTTTTTTATTTGACACAGAGAGAGAGAGAGAGAGACAGCAAGAAAAGGAACACAAGCAGGGGGATCGGGAGAGGGAGAAGTGGGCTCTCTGCCAAGTGGGAAGCCCAGTGCGGGGCTTAATCTCAGGGCTCTGGGATCATGACCTGAGCTGAAGGCAGATGCTTAACGACTGAGCCACCCATGTTACGTCAAGCCTGCTGCAAAGTGGGTCCAATGTCATTGTGCCATTCCCATTTTATAGAAGATGCAATTGAGATTAAGCAGTGAATAGACACAGAGCACCCCCGTACCCCCACCGCAGGCTCTCGGACACTGGCTGAGATCTAGGCTCTTTTCTTTTTAGAGCCAGGAGTTGACAGACAGACTTTCTCCGGAAATGGCCCAGAGCACATGTGTTCAGCTTTGCGGCCCGTCCCTGTTGTGACCGTTCAACTCCATGATCGAGGGCAGAAGCAGCCATAGACAGCCTATAAAGAACTGAGTGTAGCTGTGGTCCCATAAAACTTCATTTATGGGCACTGAAGTGTAAATTTCATGTAATTTTCACATGACACAAAATACGCTTTCTCTTCCACCATTTAAAAATGTCAACACCTTTCTGCCGGCCGGTGGGCTGTTAACCCGCTGACCCCTGCCGGAGATGGCCCACAGCAGAGGCGCCGTGCTTGCCTGAGATGAGTGTGTGCTGATTCCCCCCCCTCCCCGCCCCCAACAACTAACGAGTGTCCCTGCTCTCTCTCGTGCTGTGTTTCATCCGCAGGCACAGCCAGGAAAACGCTGCACTTTGAGATTTCCAAAGAAGGCAGTGACCTGTCCGTGGTGGAGCGAGCCGAAGTCTGGCTCTTCCTCAAAGTCCCCAAGGCCAACAGGACCAGGACCAAAGTCACCATCCGGCTCTTGCAGAAGCACCCGCAGGGCAGCGCGGACACAGGGGAGGACGCCGAGGAGATGGGCTTCGCGGAGGAGAGGAACGAAGTGTTGATATCGGAAAAGGTGGTGGACGCGCGCAAGAGCACCTGGCACATCTTCCCGGTGTCCAGCAGCATCCAGCGGTTGCTGGACCAGGGCAGGAGCTCCCTGGACGTTCGGATTGCCTGCGAGCAGTGCCACGAGACGGGCGCCAGCCTGGTGCTCCTGGGCAAGAAGAAGAAGAAGGAGGAGGAGGGGGAGGGGAAGAAGAAGGACGGAGGAGACGGAGGGGCAGGGGGAGACGAGGACAAGGAGCAGTCCCACAGACCTTTCCTCATGCTGCAGGCCCGCCAGTCGGAAGACCACCCTCACCGGCGGCGGAGGCGGGGCTTGGAGTGCGACGGCAAGGTCAACATCTGCTGTAAGAAACAGTTCTTTGTCAGCTTCAAGGACATCGGCTGGAACGACTGGATCATCGCTCCCTCCGGCTATCACGCCAACTACTGCGAGGGTGAGTGCCCGAGCCACATAGCAGGCACGTCGGGGTCCTCGCTCTCCTTCCACTCGACCGTCATCAACCACTACCGAATGCGGGGGCACAGCCCGTTCGCCAACCTCAAGTCGTGCTGTGTGCCCACCAAGCTGAGACCCATGTCCATGCTGTACTATGATGATGGGCAGAACATCATCAAAAAGGACATTCAGAACATGATAGTGGAGGAGTGCGGGTGCTCATAGAGCGCCCCGCCCAGGGGGACGGGGAGTCAGAGTGGTCCAGAGAAGACAGTGGAGAGATGAAGAAATGTTTAAGGTTTCTGAGTTAAACAAGCAGAAAAAAAAAATAGAAATTAAAAAAAAAAAATAAACTAAAAACAAAACCTGAAACAGATGAAGGAAGATGTGGAAAAATTCCTTAGCCAGGGCTCAGAGATGAAGCAGTGAACCAGATGGGAATGGGGAGGGAGAGGGAGAACAGCGCCCCCTTCATGTCTTCTGATATCAAGGTGATGACGTCAGTTGCTTACACGGGAGTATTGTCCCCTCCTTTTCAGTCCCCTTTTCAGTGTGAGCCTCGAAGTCGACTTGTCTAGTCTGCAATAACGTGGGCAGGCACAACCCAAATAGCATCTAGAAAGCCATGAGTTTGAAAGAGCCAGTTACCGGCGCTTTCCCACCCAGTTACCCAGGTTGTAAGGTATGTCTGTGTGACCCTCTCTCTGTGTATATCAGCCCATGCATACACGCACACAGACACACACACACACACACACACATCCACACACAGAGGCATTTCCACACGACACGTGCATACACGTACAGGCAAGGGAACAGTAGTATGACGTGGTCACACTTCTTTTTCTGCACCAGTTTTGCGACAAAGCAAAACAAAACAAAAACCAACCTAAAAACAGAACAAAATGAAACAAAACAAACATTTGAGACCAAGAATGGGAAGAGAGCAAAATCAAGGAACAAAGAATACCAAGTTACATTTCGTTAAGGTGCTTATGATCTTAGTACTATGCAACCTAATAGGTTTGAAACTGTTTACCTGAGAGAGAACAAAATGAGAGACTTTTTTGTATTGGAAGTAACCTGATTAATTTTTATTTTCTTCAAGGAGAGATACTTGAAAGGAATATGTTTGTCCATCTGTTGGATCCAAACATTTCTATATTTTGTAAATGTTGTTTTTTTTTTATCGTTTACTATTTGCACTACAATGGTGTTTGACCTGTCTAATCCTTATTTAACAAGTATTTTCTTTGGGTGGGGGTTGGGGGGGGTTAAGAGCTGCACTTAATGTGAGCTATAAGAGAACTGCTACAGCACACAAAATAGCTATTTTTATTATTATAATTATAATTATTATTATTATTTTGTACCTTAAAAAATAGACACATACACCAAAGACATTTGTGTGAGCCTTTAAACAGTCTGTCTGTGGTTGGTATCATTCACCATCAGTGAGTCAGGGGTTGGGATTCAAGGCGGAGTAGGGTGGATGGCGTTCAGGCTGGAGAGACCTGAGAAGTTTGGTTTTTTGACTCCTTTGACATCCATGAAACGGGACATTTCATACTGGATGTACAGTAGTTGTACACTGTCGGCTATCATAGAATACTACATGCTTGTCCGTGTATATGTACATGGCTTGTGCATATGCATACCTGTGTGTATATAAACATGGATCGCATCATATGCCCATGCACATTTTAAGCACGTCAGGCTGTCATTTTGTAATGTTCTTAAAGCAATGAATGTTTGTGTGCAAAACACAGTATTTTTAAGAAGGATAGGCTATCGTTTTTGCTTTTCCTCTGAACTAGGTGGGCACATTTTCAAAAATGTGGATGGGAAGAAGCCTGGAAACTCCAGTGACTATTTTCAGCAAGACCCTCTTTCATTGTGCAGGGACCCAGCTCCCTCCTCTTTCTTGCCCCCCCCACCCCCATCCCCCCAGATATTTCCTGTGGGGAAAACAGGAAACTCATGTTCTTCAAGGTTCTAGGCTGATTTTTGTGTGTGTGTGTGACTTATATTTATTATCTATTGGAATCAATCTTAAATCAGAAAGCTTTTTCAGAAAGAAAAAAAATTCATCTTTAGGCCAGAATAAGAGTTGGGTAATTTTGGGGGGCAGAGGGGGGTGATTAAGGCCTAATTGTGAGAAATATGACTTGCTGGGCTAAATAATATTGCTGTCACTAATTAAAAGATAAATAACTTGGGGAAAAGTCTTAAGAAATTAGGAATAAGAAAGAGAACTGCAGGGTGGCATCAGTGGTAAAAATCCCTAATATTTTAATTTACAGCCAAAACTCTTGATATATAAGTTTGTATGTATTGACTCAGATGCAAAAAAGAAAAAAAAAAACATTTTGTTTTATAAATATCAAAGTACATGCTTAAAGCTAAATTTCTACTAATTTATTCCACAGTATTTAGCTTGCCTAGAATAGCTAATAAGTTATTCATTTATATGCTTTTAAAAATACAGAGCCTTATTTTTACCGACTTGTTGGAAGTTTGCAAAAACTGAAAAAAATATTAATAATTTGGAAAAATTGCATTCGTTAGTATTTTGTAAAATACTGAAGCTTTCAGAAAGTCAATGTCAATTCATAGATTTTTTTTTTAATTAACTGTAGAAAAATAAAATAGTGAGAAACCAAACATTACTAAAAGGTGGTTTAGCTCTTCTTGAGATAGTCATACTAAATTGGTGTACTAGAACACTAGACTGTATGTAGGCAAATCATTTTAATGTTGTTCCTGGGTAGATATACTTACTACGTCTTGAGGTCCACCCTTTCTTATGCAGAAATACAACATGTACCCCATGGGAGTGGACTCTAAATGTAAGAGGGAGTAAGTTGGTACTTGCTTTCTTACTCTTAACCATTGACCAGGAAATCATTCAGGGTGAGGAAAGTGGGCATGGTGAGGGAAGTTTCAAATTTGCATGAAAAACTTAGAGGGCCTTTTGGACTGCTGCTTATTTGGTAGTGGCACTAATAATGGAACCCATGAAAATAGTTTGGGGAACCAAGTCCTAGTTCACAGTGCACTAGCAGGAATGTCCAAGGCAGTGGGAAAAGCAGGATGCTTAAAAGATAGCTGATACCCGTTTGTGGCTCTCATTCATCTCAAGTGTGTGCGCCATCTTGTTTAAGCCCTTTAAAAGAGTGCTCGACACAGTGGGTATAAGATGGAGCTTAATTAGTGGCTATAATAATTGGAAGCAGAGCAAAACAAAATTCCATACGACAATATTTTAATGGGATGTGTTAATTAAAATTAAATTATTGGGTTGTCAAACATCTCCAAACTTCGACATTTCATTAAACTTAAGTGGCCTTGAAATAGAATGATAAATTGCTGCTATCTTTAATAATCTTGGAAGATATGCAGGCTTGTAAACAACTGCACTTTTCTTGTAGCAGCAAGAGGCCAAAAGAAAAAGCTTTCAACTTCAACCATATTGGGTTCCTCACAGTAGGTTTTCCTTAAAACAGGGTGGCTCTATCTGATCTTAGCATCTCTCTACTCTTTCTCTAAGGCTAATCTCTAGGCTCTTAAAAATCTACTCATACCGATCTTAAAAACTCTGAAAAGTATTTGTCCCCAAGTATTTTTTAAAAATGATAAATATTTGATAGTTTGGATTCTTCCTTTTTTCTCTATCCCTTTCTCTCTCTCCTTTCCTTTCCTTTCCTTTCCTTTCCTTTCCTTTCCTTTCCTTTC